TAGCTGGGATTGTAGATGTGAGCCACATCACCCAGCTTCCCTTGTGTTTCTTAATTATGTAGAATGAGAGGATGAAAATCCAGGGATGATTGCTTTAAAGAATATTTATTAGTTATCTTTTCTCTCCTGAATAGTTTTAACATCTGATCTCTGAGTCAGGTTAGATCAACATTGCATGGTGTTGAGCCCCAGCGGGTTGCTTTTCCTCAGTGTTTGTTTGGCTGTTGCTATCAGTTTATATGAAGAATGATTAGGAACCACAATCTCATGAAGTTGGCCACATACTCCTTGTGAGGATGCTGTTTGAGACATGGGGTGATATTTCATTATGAGATATGAGGTTTCTGTTATGGGGTCTTGTCTGATCAAAGCTGATGGATAGGTGGCCATCTTACTGAGCAATCTACTTTTTATTGCAGGAACACAGTGTCCAGCACAGAGCCAGCTTTTCCATTTAATATTTGGTATATTGGAAGCTCTGAGCCAAGTACATAACCCTCTTTAAGCAGATGGGTATGGTGGGAAATTGCCATATGGGTTGGCAACTCCTTCCTTCTGCCCTGATTTTCTTTCATTTCCTATCCTCAGCTTGCTCTTTTGCTACCATGTGGTATACCTACTGATTCTGTTGATCAGGCTGCTGAGTCTGGGTCAGTGACCGGGTTAACCACTGCTCCTTGAATGTGCTCTGTGCTTTAGGCTGACCTAAAGCAGAGAGCAGAAACATAAATCCAGCCAGCCATGCTTTCTGCTTTACTGGGAAGCCAGAGACTCCATGGCAAAGTCCTGAGCCATGTCTTGATGAAATTCAGATGTATGGTAACATGCAGAGCAGGAGGCTGTGTCAAGAAACTCTTCTGTAAGAGGGACAGAATGGATAATAGGTTTTGGCAGAATTGATTAGAATGGTTGGCAGCTGAGGAGCCTGAGGACTCCTCCCTCTATGGGGTTTCCTCCACCCATTTGCAGACCCTGCCAGTGTAGAAGGCTCTGGACCCCAGTGTCAAAGGTCAGATCGTTAGATGGGAAAAGCACTTGGTCTCTGGCTATAGATTGATGTGACTGCCAGAGTTCAGGATAGAAAGGTAGGTCTGAGAAATAGCTGTGGGGAGGAGGCTCATGACCTGTCCATGGAGGACTGCAGAGGCAGAGGCGGGGAGGGGTGACCTTGCTTTGCAAGCATCGCTGCCCACACATCCAAATAGACATCTTCCTGAATGGTGTCTAGAAGAAGGCAGAGCATTTGCGCAATTAATCGATTACCTCAAATGGACTAGTATCTCCTTTTGAACATCAACACCTCTGTATGAAAGCTTTTTTGTTGTTGTTGTTGTTCTTTCTTTCTTATTTTTTGCTCTACACCTTCAGGGCATGTTTGTTGTACTTGTCTTTTCCTCTACTCTATAAACTTCACAAGGGCATGAAGATCATGTGTCTGTCTGCACAGAGCCCATAAAAAAGAACTTCGTTGAATGTTTCTAGAATTAGAAAGAGAATAGATTTAAATAGAGAGACCTAATCTCCTTGCAAGCCCTTTATCTGCCTGGCCCCTGATCCTTACTTTAAAGTACAAGATGTTGCCCTTGGTTTGGGAGAATAAACTTTTTCTCTAATCTGTTAGAAAGAGCATGGACTCTGTTGTTAGACAACTATAGGTTTAATCTTGGCGCCAACACTTCCCTTCAATGGTGGCAAGAATGGGTCATTGAGCTCTGTAATGCATCAACAGATGACATTATAGTTAAAGTAGGAACAATATATATGGTCTTCTCTAGGTTCAGGATGGACTGGAAACACTGTTTTTTGCCACCTGTGGGGAAGAAATGACAACCTAAATCATACATAACCTTATTGTCTTGTCCCTACTTTCTCTTTCCCCGCATTTTCAGCCCTCACCTGCAGGGTGCGCACTTTGGATCTCAGCCATTTCTTAGTCGCATCTGGGATTTTGCTGATTGCCTTCACTGAGCCTTCTTCCTGGAACATGGAGCTGTGTGGGTCATGGTATTGATCTGATTCACTTGTCTCCTGCAGACCGGGCTCCAAAGTGGCCATGGCGATATGGGGAAAGGAATTTGGCCTACTCCAATTATCCTTGACAGCATAGTGTCTGCTATACTGGTTTTTGTTGTTGTTGTTGTTGTTTGAATAGAAATTGTTATTGTTTGGATCAGAGAGAGTTTATAGATGTGAATTCTGGAAGATCATCTGTAATTCTTCAGACAAGAAATACAGGAAGGAACCTTCTAGATAGGGGTGATGGGTTGGAATAGCCTGTCAAGCTCAGGGATGGGAGACCTCAGGTTGATTAACAAAAACTCGCTGCTATGGAATCACAGCTCTGCCTAGATCAAGCATGCCATCCATGTTTATTGGTTCATTCATCCACAGATACTTACCAAGCTCCCTCTGTGTGCAAGAAGTTTACAGCTGTTCCAAAGGTTACCTTTTAGGGGAAGCTGCTTGATGGTCTGCTTCCCTCCTGGTCTGTGGAGGTGTCTCCTTCCCCATTCTATCTGGGGATGGTGTCTTCTCTGTCATTGCTCTAACGCTACCTTCTTGTTGCCTCTGACTTCCATCTTTGCTGGATGATTCTTGTCAATCCATGCTAGTCATTGCCTTTCCCCCCCCCCAGTTCCCCAGCAGTTCTGTGGCTCTTGTGTGAAGCTTCTCATCACTTAGAAGTTGGGGTGTGTGTGTGTGTGTGTGTGTGTGGAGACCCATTGCAGTGCAGAGCACGCATCATTTCCAATTCATGGTCAGAAGTGTAGTGCATCTCTCATCCAGCCCAACTTAGCCCATGCCCAGGCGGGTAATTATTCATTAGCATGCTGGTTTAATGTCACTCTGTCTTACTCAATTGTGAGGGCATACCTCTACTATAAACCCCTGATTAGCTAGTGCCTGGCACTCTGTCTATTCTCTAGTAAGTGCTCAATGAGATCGTTGTTGAAGTGTTGGAGTGCTTAACTAGCAAGCACTAAGCCCCTAAGTTCAATCCTCAGTATCACACAAAAATGTAAACCATTGTTGAATTAATAAGGGAAACAGTATTTTATTTTAGTCCCTGCCAATGTACCAGTCACTTCCCATCCACTGTTTCCCAATCTTTCATTGCCTTTTGTAGTGTTTTACTCTGCTTCTTGTACTCCTCTCTCCTCTTTTCCTTTCCACTCCACTCCAGCTGTCTATATACCATGCTCCCATTCCTATTTATTGTGCAAAGCAGCTTAATATAATCAGCTCAACTTCTGTCTCCTGCACCACGGAAGCAGATCCAGCCCCCACCCCCCCCATTCCCCACCTAGGACTCATTGGGGGTATTAAATCAATCTGAACTGCTATAAACTGGGTAATTTATAAACAATATACATTTACAACCCACAGTTCTGAATACTGAGAGTCCCAGACAAAGATGCCAGAACATACAGTGTCAGGCGAGAGCCTGCTCCTCATAGATACCACCTTCTATGTGAATGCACATGCCAGAAGGGGGTTGGAATGCTCCTTGACAGGGGCATGGGTCCTGCTCATGACAGCAGATGCTCATGATCTCACCATCTCCCAAAGTCCTGCCTCTTCACTCCATGGCATTGGGGGTTAGGTTTGGCATTTGAGATATTCTTTCAGATGATAGCAGATGTGATTCAGTGTGTGTGCTGGGAAGTGTGCAAGGGTTTCAAGGAGGGGGTGGTGACATGGCGAGAGCTCTGAGCATCCAAGAGACGAGGCAGGCACAGGGGGACTGTGGTGTGAAATGGGGGTGGGGGAGCCGCCACAGACTTCTTCAGGACTTAAGCTTGCTGATGTCTCCTTTGGTGTGTCCTGCAAGCACTTCCAGGATGTCTCTCTTCCTGCTCTCCCACCCTTTTCTTCCTTTTCTTTCCTCTCAGAATAGAACGGGTTCCTGTTTCTCTTGGATAGACCAGCATGCTCTCTTTGGGCTTCCATTCTACACCCTACATGTCTTTCAGTGTCACTTTGAGGGGAATTATAGTCCAAACCATGGGTTCGGTGTAACCTTATGAAATCAAATGGTCATGACTTCTTGTTAAATGGGGCTGGCTCAGAGTTCAGGGGAGAAGCCTAAACTACTGCCAACATTGACTTTCCTATCTTTAAATGAATGATTGCCTAACTCCTGTCTTGCTTACTTCTTCTTCCGTGAAACTAGATCTTTCCGTCAGCCTGCCTTGACAGAGAAGAGGTGAATGTTGTTTATGTGTGCTGCTCCTGGGGCTTGAACCCAGGGCTTCGGCACAGTCCCTAGGGTTTTGTTTTGTTTTAATTTTTGACGGAGGCTAGTGCTCTATCACTTGAGCTGGACAGTTCCAGCTTTTTGATGGCTAATTGGAGATAAGAGTCTCGTACTTTCCTGCCAGGGCTGGTTTCAAACCACAGTGTTCAGATCTTAGCTTTATGAGTAGCTAGGAATTCAAACTTATGTCATCAGCTCCCAGCTTCACTTAATGATATTTTAATATGGATGTTTAATATGGACTTCATGCGGAAGCTGCCCTCCATATTATAAGTGGGGAAACTGAGATGTGTAGGGGTTAAACATGTGGCCCAGGCTCACACAAATTTGCAAGGCTGAGGTGTGGGTCTTGTTTTGCTGGGCTCTGAGGCTACTGGTCTTTCCGCTGCTTCTCTGTTGCAGGAAGCAATTACAGAGGTATGCCCAAGCATTCATTTTTTCCTACTTTAGAATGAGGCATGGCTATTTGCTCTCTCAGGAAGGAAAGATTGAAATCAATGTGTAACCAGCCTTATTAACTTTTTTAAATACAGGAGTCTGCAGATGCTAGTTCCTTTTGTGAGAGCACCAAAGTAAATATTAAAAAAATCCAATTTGCTTGCCTATTTAAAAAAAACAACAACACAAAAGTCTCTGGAGTTTAAAATTTCAAGTTGTAAATGAAGTGCTGATAACAAAGAGGTGACAAACCCAAGCCTCAGACACGGACGGTACTTACCCATCTTTCTTTTGTCTTCAGGAGGCTGCTCCTTTGATGAACACTACAGCAACTGTGGTTACAGCGTGGCCCTGGGGACCAATGGGTTCACCTGGGAGCAGATTAACACCTGGGAGAAGCCGATGCTGGACCCAGCCGTGCCTACAGGTATGTAATCTATCATGTCTGGGGCTGTGATGGAGATGGCTAACTTGGACAGTGACTCATGGAGGGAAGGTTCACTTAAGGATCAAGTTGTCTGGGAGCACAAGAGATAAATGTTGATATGGATTACCCATCCTTGTTCAAACAAGGCAGGGATGAATTCTTTGGGATATAGTGATGGGCAGAGGTCACATGGATCCAGGCATCTTTAGGATTACTTTTGTTAGTTTTGGTTAGTGGTAGGCTTGAACTCAGGGCCTGGGCTCTGTCTCTATGATCTTTGGCTCAAGGCTAGTACTTTATCACTTTGAGCCACATCTCCACTCCTGGTTTACTGGTTGTTAATTGGTGATAAGAGTCTCACAGGCTTTCTTTTCCAAGGGGTAAGGGAGGTTTTGAACTACAGATCCTCAGATCTCAGTCTCCTGGGTATTGTTAGGTTTTTAAAAAGAGGTGGCCGATTAAGAACTGCACCAGCACGCACGTGGTATTCAGGTAAGGGGTAGGTTTATTTAGTAGACCTGCTGAGACCAGGTTGGCACTCCATGTGGCTGGGGAAGGCCTGGGAATGAGAGAGAGCTGGGAAGAGAGGGAAGAGAGAGAAAAGAGCCAGAAAAGAGCAGAGAGAGGGGTAAGAACAGTAGCACTCACGTGGTATTCAGGTAAGGGGTAGACCTGCTGGGACCAGGCAAAGTTTGCAGTCCACGTGGCTGGGAAAGAGAGAGAGCAAGAAAAGAACACAGAGAGAGAGCTAGAATAGAACAGAGAGAGCAAGAAAAGAGCAGCAAGAGCAAGAGGGTGAGTGAGAGCAGAAAAGAAGAGCAAGAGCAAGAGAGAGAGTGAGAGCAGAAAAGAAGAGCCAGAGAACGTCTGGGCCTGGGCTAGGCCTTATCTAGGGTATGGGCGGGGAAAGGTGTGGCCACATCAAATTCGGATGTGACCTCAGCGGATGCAGATGTGACCTCTTCCAGGTGTCCCAGTTGCCTAGGTAACGCAGGTACTGGGTGGAGACTTTGCTGCGAGGAGGGTGGAGTCTGCTAGCCATCCAGGAGCGGACCTTACAGGTATAACAAGGATGATAGGTATGAGCTACCAACTCACAGTTAGGATTAGTTTTAATGGTGAGATTCTAATCCCTGGCTACTTGTTTGGGAGGCTGATGATATTAGGGTCTGAGGGAATCAAAGAGCTTTGAGGGGATTTGAGGTTACCCCTTTCTTGCAGAGTGCTGCAGTCCAGTTCCTACTCAGTACTGCTACATCTCAACTGCCACGTGGAAATTCTGGATAGATACTTGCATGTGACCTCGGCTATATTTTAGGGGGAGGTAGGCTGAATACTCAAGGAGAACACCATTAGTAGGGTTCACCTGGCGATGAAAGCCAGCAGCTCTGGGAAAGTTAAGATCACCTCCCGGCATACCTGGAAAGATGACTGATTGGATATGGGGGCCACTCAACTTGATTAGGACCTCCTCAACCGAGGCTTTATCTAGAACATACACTGTCTTGGTTTTTCCTCCATCCCCCAGTGAAGCTCTCCCCTTCCTGCTCTGTCAGTGTGCTCCAAACTTCAACACTGGAATTCTTTGGGCCTGTTCTACCTTCGTTCCATGGGTGGCCTCACTAACCTCTGACCTGCATACGGACGGCCTCCAATACTCATCTTCCACATTTAGACCTAACCAGCTACTGCCTGGCTGCCATGTTTCAGTAGCCACCTCCAGGGAAGGGGTTTTCTGGATGTTACTAAAGTGGAGGACAAGAAGATGCTCAGAGGTATCCAGGTAGGAAAGTGGCCTCCTTGTTCATACCAGAAGGCCACCGGCTATCTCTGCACCCGCATTGTGTCAATTTCTCCTGAGTGCTGATAAAACAAACAGCAGCAGCAGCAACAACAACAACAAAACTCCTTAGCTCTAATAAAAGTTGTGCTGTGATACAGAACTGAGCATGTCAGATTTGGCATAAAGGCTTACTTTAACTGAACAGAATCATCTATGGCTGCAAGTTCCCATTATTAACCTGACATGGACAACCTCCATGTCTGTCCTCTCATGATTTGGAAACCCAGGGTCCATTTTTTTTGTCTCTTTCTCTCTGGTCTCATCCCCCATTTTCAAATCCATCCCTTCATGGTGCTGCTATAATTCCTGAGCACACCTTGAGTCTGCACGATCCTCATTGACACCCATCACAGCTGGTGTTGTTTGGTCCAAGATGAAAAGTTGTCGCATGTGACCAGAGATGAGGCCAGGCTTACTGACAGTTCTCTCTTCAGTGAGTAAATCAGTGTGCCCTGCAGAGTGTGAACAAAACATTGGTTAGTTGGATGGCTGGATGGATGGCAAATAGTCTAGTCATGGAGGAACCAATAATAAGCATGATTAGGTTGGACTTTAGGCTCTCTACTAACTGATCACCTGTTTTTGCCTTGGCTAGTATCCTTCTCATCTTACAGATCAGAAAACCAAGGTTCCAGCTACCCGAGCAAGATCACTACTTTCCTCCTATTCTACTGTCCCTCAAGACCCAGCACTTGCTTCTAGTCTTAATTTGTTCAGCCCCTCATTACAGCAGAGCATCATTTCATAAATATTGGATTGTGCTAATACAATCTTCTGAGCCGTTCTAAATAGAGGCGTTTGATAATAATCACTGAAATTGTTCTGTCATGATGTGACTGTGGAATCCAGCGGCTCTGCGCGCTGCTCAGCCAGAGAAGCATGAAAACGAATTTGGATTAGGCAAAACTGTTTGTTCTTCACAAGCAAAGGCTACAGTCTTGCTTTTCCTGCTGCAAATCCAGCAGTTTCCATCTTTCCCGAAAGGTAGCTTGAGTCTGTTTGCTCAAATGTGGCCTGTTCTCTCCAGCTCCTTTGTGTAATGGGCTCAGTCTGGGTTGTAACTCAGTCTGGAGACATCAATCATGATTTGGTTATTGAATTCCTTCAGTGACACATAGGTAAACTCTGACCTTCCTACCAAAGCCCAATCTGTTACCGTCTTTGAGTCCTTTTTCTTCTCTCCCCAAAGGCTTCAGACACCCTGGCTGTTGGGGACTCACCTCATGTGTCAGATTCTTTTGTGGCACAGGGCCATTGCACATGCTGTCTCTTCCCACCAGAAGGATTTCATCACTGATTTCTCCAGTTTTAAGTACAAATGACTTCCTGCAGAGATCTTTCCCCATCTGCTGGTCTAAGGAAGGTCTCCCTAATGGTTCCAGTGTAACATCCTGTCTTTTTCCTTCAAAGCCCTTGTCATAGCTGCATTGTGCTCACTGAATGGCAGCTGGGAAGCAGAAAGACAGGGAGAGGAAGTGGTTGGGATGAGATACCCTTCAAGAGTCCTTGGATAACTGAGAAATTTTCCCCTCATCAGATACCACCATCCTGTTTCCATCCTCTTCCAACAGTCCACTCTGTGATGAATCCAGCAACAGAAGAATCCATCCATAAGATCCGAGCCCTCGTGACACAGTCTCTTCTGCAAAGCCCGGTCTCTGAGCACTGCATGGCGACCAAGCCTTCAGCAGTGAGCCTTGGGAGAACATGTCTTAATCAAATTGTGACACATACTTACAGCTCAGCTAATTTCTAATTTTATGCCATTGGCCAGTGATCCTGGAGTGTCAACCCTTTGTCTCAGTTTCCTTGTCTTTAACTTGGGGGCCACTGTGAAAGCTCAGGGAGGAGGTAGGTGTGAATATGAATGAAAGGTGCACACTTCTCGCTGGTTTCTTAAATTCCTTTCTGGTTTTTTGCAGTATCTGGGACGGTGAGACTAAGTCAGTCCCCCTTTGGATTTTGCTCCTCCCTCAAGCTCATAGGTATCCAAGGATGCCTTGTAAATATGGATCACCTAGTAGGTGATCAGTCTTGGGCCTTTGAAAGGCAAGCGAGGTTTGGCACCTGCCAACCCTCTCTCTAGGATTCCTAGTTATCCCTAGAACTAACTGTAGCTACTATGAGACCCTCCCTAACCTTTTCAACCTTGACATAGCAGTCCTGAGGTACAGCCCTGAGTCCAGTGGCAGAGCCTGAGGGCTGATGGGAAATACATGTTTCTTGATTGTCCTTTTAAAAGAGCTAAAGCCAGAGGTCACAGGGCTTGCAGCAGGGGTGGAGGGTGTCTTCTAATGCTGTAGGATATTAATTGATATGATGGGAATGAAGTAACGTTGAATCTCAGTCTGTGGCTCTGGATGTACAAGAAATGTTGCATGTATATTTCTTCCTTACATAAACTTGACCCTCCTCTTGAACCCCCAAGGAGCTGAGATGTTAAATGTTCGTCCTTATGGGGGCATCCCTTTCCTGAGAGCTTGTTCTGTGACTATCTTGGAATGTCAGCTGGCATTGTAACGTTCTTCAGGAAGTGCCCACTGTTGTATATCCTGTGTATCTTTGTGTGATTCTGTTGCTTCTTTCCAAGCTAGAAGTCTTTGTCCAGGTCCAGCTTGTTTAAGTACCCCCTGCATCCTTCCTGGGGCCCGCTCAGCCTCAGGTTCTGCCCCCCAGGCAGGATGGAGCCAGCAGAACCTTTTCTGTGTCCTCCTTCTCTTGCCTTCTTTTTGTTTTACTTTATTTTTGAGTTAGCCTAAGGAATAGTCCTGTGAGCCTGACTCTTCTTTTTGTAGACACAGTGTAGACTCTATAGTAAGTTTAAAGAAGGAAGAGGAAAGCTTTGACCTCCAGAAGACTCCCTCATCTCTCTATCCTGGACACATTTCTAGGGAAGTACAAGCCTCATGGTCACCTGATTTGGTCAGGATGGAAGGGACTGGAGAAAATCCTGGGAGAATATGGGCAGAGCCACACCCAGCCTTGGGACCGCTTCAGCATACCAGCTGGCCATGGGAACAGGTCCTGTCCCCAGGGGGACTCTGGGCTTCCCTTCATGCCATCTAGGCCCTGGCCTTGCTCTAACTGCTGGTGCTTATAGGATGCTGGTGTCTGGCATAGATGGAATTACATCTTCTCAAAAGGCAAGTTGGATCTC